TAAAAGATGAATTATAAAAATTATTCATTTAATTAAATAATATGTAAATAAAACTATAAATATCAAAAGATTTTTATATGAAGGAATATAAATGGATGCCTATTTATGACCATAACTCCAATTCTGTTACGGTAACCAATAGTCAACGGTTAAGCGTCTTCTTTGGGCCTGTGCACGTGCCTAGTCAGATTTCCCATCAAGACACCAAAAGTATTTTCAATAAGCACAATGTAATAAAAAATGTTCAAATTTCTTTTTAGAAAAAATTTAAGAAGTATATCTCAACCCATTTAAGAATTTTATACATCTGTTGATACTGAGTAATAATAATATGATTTACCATGGACATGTAAAAAATTAAACTAGGGTTACCATAATTATTTTACTTTATTTCAAGTTGTTAAGTTTTTTCGAGTACAATTACTGTTTACAATATAGATTTTAACAAAACAAATAGATATTAGATAGTAAATAATAGTAATAATAATTTAATTTGTTAGTAATAATTCATTTTTTCATATTGATATACTGAAACATAGTACAATACGTTTAAGTAAGAAAAGAAACAAGTAAATGACAATACCTAAATATACTAGATATTGATAACCCAATGGACACATTTAAGACATACTAAAATCAATTATACTTTCAAAAAAAATTTTTAATTTTTAAATTATAAGATGATATTGCAAATCAAAATGTTCTTTAATATTTTGTATAGTACATTTTTCACCAATTACGTCTGGAAAGCAAGTACAATGCAGTGGCGCAACCAGGGGGGGTGTTTTGGGTGTCTGGACACCCCCCTTGGACCGTATTTTTTATTTAATAACTATTGAAAAGTGATCTATTTATATTAAATTTATAACATAAAAATCATAATATTGCAGTCTTCATAATGCAGACGATTTATCAGAACAAATGGTTTAAAATATTATTATGAAAGTCCATAATAATTTATGTATAAATTCAGAAATATTTATCTTGGTTAAAATAAGAATATTATTTGAATCTTGATGTAAACTATTTTTATTTTTATTATATTTAGAAATAATTTACATTATTCAGGTTCTTATCTTTTATGATAGGCAATTAGATATTGATGTAAATTTGTAATACGAAAACCGACCACGTGGCCATCTAAGTTATTATTAGTTTATATTAAGTCTAATAATATTGATAAATTAATAACATCAGTTGTCCGATATTTATTCTCAGTGTCGGTTCTTTGAGTTATCTACGTATTTGTGTGCATGTGCGATATAAGATATTATATAAACGTGATTAGGTTTTGTATTTCTAATCTTACAATATAATATACTGTTTCGTAAAATGAGTAAACGTGTTAATAAAAGTATAACTGACTTTTTTGCCAAAAAAGTACCGCGGCAGGAATTAAATACAAATAATGCGAAATTTTGTCCGGAAGATGATTTAAGCCAACAAATAGAAAATGTACATTGTCAGCACGATAATCTGCAGGTTAGTTTATTTGATATTGAATTATGTGTTGGTAAAAAGTTATCAAATAAAGAAAAAATAGATTTTTTTCAAAACACATGGACCCCAGAAAAAACATTTATTTTCCCAACAACAGAATTTAAAAACAAAAAAAAATTGAAGTTTCAATTTAGTTGGTTGGAGAAATGGATTTGGTTGGCGTATTCACATAAAGAAGACGGCGCGTATTGCAAGTATTGTGTTATATTTAATAAAACGGAAGGAGGTTCTCAGGTTTTGGGTAATTTTAGTCTTAAGCCTTTTAAAATTTGGTATAAAGCAATAGAAAAATTTAATATTCACGAAAAGTGTAATTATCACCTCAAAGCAGTTGAAGAGTATCAGAACATTGTTGCTATTGAAGCTGGAAAACAAGATTCAATAGATTTACAATTAAATAAAGCTTCTAAAATGCAGAAAGAATTGAATAGAAAAATAATTATTCCAGTAATCGAATCTGTGGTTTTTTGCGGAAGACAGGGAATTGCCTTACGCGGACATCGGGATTTTGGAATGCTAACGACGGAAAACCCAATAGAAAATGACGGTAACTTTAGAGCTTTAATGCGATTTCATATGAATGCGACAAAGTTGTCTGGTGATGAATCTTACGAATTGGCAAGAACAAATTGTGCAAAAAACGCGCAGTATACAAGTTGGAAGATTCAAAACGAAATTATCAGTTCTTGTCATGATATTATTTTATTTAAAATCATTGATGAAATCAATAATAGTAAATGTTTTTCGGTAATAGCTGACGAAACGGCAGACGTGGCTGGCATTGAACAATTTTCGTTATGTGTTCGTTATTTTGATTCTAAAAGTAAAATAATAAAAGAACAATTTTTAAAATTTGTACCTGTTATGGACTTAAGTGGAAGCGCACTTGCAAGTATAATTATTAAAGAACTTACTGACATGAAAATTGAAATGCAGTACATCAGAGGACAGGGTTATGATGGAGCTGCATCGATGAGTGGGAGATTCAATGGTGTACAATCATGCATAAAAAAAGAATATAAAACTGCTATATATGTTCATTGCAGTGCGCACAGTTTAAATTTAGCTATAACTTATGCTTGCGGTGTACAATCCATTCGAAATACTATGGGTACAATCGAAAAAGTTTTCGTATTTTTAAATACTCCAAAAAGACAAGCTGCATTTTCAAAACATGTCAAAGAACTGAATCAAGAAAATACTCATAAAGAAAAACTAAAACGATTATGTATGACAAGATGGGTTGAAAGGCATGACTCAGTAGAAGTGTTTGATCAACTTCTTCCTGCTGTCCATTCGTGTTTAGAAGAAATGACTAGTTGGGCAGACAACGAAACATCTACTAAAGCTCATATATTATTATTAGCTTTAAAAAATTGTGAATTTAATGTAAGTCTTATTGTTTTAAAAAAAATATTTCGGTATACTGTATCTTTATGCAAATACTTACAAAAACCTGACATAGATCTTATTCAAGCTCTAGAATATGTCAACAATGTGATACTTCAAATAAATTCAATTAGGAATAATGTCGATGAAGAGTTCTTAGAATGTTTTGAAGAACTTCAAAGTAAATCAAATGATTTAGATTTTGAGATAAAAATTCCAAGAATTACAAAAAGACACACTTATAGTCAGAATACTCCCAATAATACAGTTCAAGATTATTTTAAAGTTTTTTTATTTATACCTTTTTTAGATACATTTATTAGTCAGTTAAATGACAGATTTATTAATCATAATGAAATTATTCAAGGTTTTCAATTGCTTTTCCCGATTGCACCTCTTACTGAACAACAAGAAAAATTAATAAAAAATTTGGCGGAATTTTATGCTAACGATGTAGAAAATTCATCAAATGTTTTAGCTGAAGTAAAAATTTGGCATCATCAAGTTTTTAAATTACGTGTCGAAACCAATTTAAAAATGGTTACTGCTATTGAAGTAATTAGTAATTGCAATATTGATCTATATCCCAACGTGTATAAATTGTTGAAAATTCTTTTAACGTTACCTGTAACTTCATGTGAAGCTGAAAGGTCATTTTCAACTCTAAAAAGAGTTAAAACTTATCTCAGAAACTCTATATCAGCATTTAGACTTAATGGATTAGCAGCTTTGAATATTCACCGCGAAATTACAGTTACTACAGATGAAATTATTAAACAGTTAAGTGAGAAAAAAAGACGATTAGATTTTGTAATATAAAATGTTTTTAAAAATTGATTGTAATTTTTATTAAAGTAGTTATATTTATAATTATTTATAAATATGTAACAAAACATAATATTTTTAAGCTCTGAAACAAACATTTGAAAATATATATATATTTTTTAAGATTTATATCTGTGATATTATGCATTTTTAGTTTATCAAAAACTCGATACCAGAGACGTATTTTGAAATATGTTACGGGGTAAGGTATTTTAATGAGGCAGACACCCCCCTCAAAATAATCCTAGTTGCGCTACTGGTACAATGTAATGTATCTTGACTTCAGATTTTGCATTTAGTAAAACTATGAAAATCGCCATGTCCTTTAATACAAAATAGTCTTATAAAATTTACCTTTTAGCCTCATTAGAATTCTTTTATCGCATAAGACACCAGACGCTTCTCTCTACTTCAACCACCCGCACTTAAACCTATGTCTTACATCATCGTCAATACCACAGTTCGTTTGCACAACTGAAAACTAAAAAACATAACTGAAAACAACTAAATACTTTAGTATTAAGCTAAATCTGTAAAAATGGAGACTAAAAAAGACCAAATGCTTGTATATGATACTTTTAAAGGAAAAATTAAAAAAAAGACTAGTAGATGAATAGAAACCACGAGAGTGGCTTACAATTTGGAGTTTGTAGGGGCTATGCTCTTTTAAAAGTCAAGTTAGCTCTTCCTCGAAAATTCTAAAAAAATCTCAAACTTTATAATATTAAGTTTATATTAAATATTTTTTTATAGTATCTTATTATTAATAAGACATTGAAAAATTAGCCAATGCTAGAAAAATTATTTGACGATGTCCGTTTTTCAAAGAAAATGTTTTAAATGAAAAAACTCAGGGACATTATTCTGGTGAAATTATTGACAAATAAATAAATATTTAGAGATAGAAAGTTAATTTAAAAAATGTCACGTAAATTATTCCTAAGGAGATTTAACTGTGAGTTTAGAGCTTATATCCAAAAATATAAGTTTAATGGACAACTTTTAAATTTATTTAAAAAATGTACAATTATTAACAAAATATATATTAGAGTGCCATGTTAGAGACTGTTAGTAATAGTAATGCCCTATTAAGGCATTCTAGTATACATCATGATTTACAGAAAATTATCTCATTTATAATATAAAAACCTTGAATAAATCTATCTTTAATGTTACATTTATAAGTCAATTATGGTAAGCTAAGGTTGAAATAATAAAAAATTTTTATGAACCGCGGTAATATTCATTATCAACTATTCTAATCAGTTAAAAAAGCGGTTGGAATCATTTAAAAGGCGAAACTCGAATCTTATATACGTAACAATATTTTGATATATTTAATGTTAATTTAAATGTTTTTTATTTATAATTTATGGTAACCTTTTTAAAGTTTAAAAATGAATTTGAATGTTAATGGAATTAGTAATGATGCCATTATAAATTATTTTGATACTATAATTCAGCAAGAAAGTCTTAAATTAAAAAAAGACAAAGAAAACTTACGAATAAATAAGAATGAAAGCAAAGAAATAATGAATGAAAATAATAACTCTCAAGTAATTATTAAAATTAGTTGAAATGTAAAAAGAAAAATGTATGACCTAATATTTATTTTATTTGTTTTTTATTAAGTTTATAATATATTCACGAAACTATCTTGTTCCAAAATAATTTTTACACCTAATATACTTAAAATATCTTTCAGTTTGTATGTCAAGTATATTTTTTCTTTTGTATAAAAATGAAATGAGATCATTGTCTGACTCATTTTAACTATTAAAAAAAACATACTTAAAAAGAAGCCTGTAACTAATGCCTAGTTATTATTTTATTATTCATGAGAAATTTTTGTGTGTTAATTAATTCATAAAGAAATTATTCTTTTAGCTGTTAGACTTTTTAAGAACATTTAAAGTTTTTAAATTGTTTTTCTTATTAGTAAAATTTTCTAATAAGAAAAACAACAATCAGAAGATTTTCATTTTATCAATTAAATAATTTATACTTTGTTATTATTTTTATATTAAAGGTTTCATACTCTCAAAATTCCCATCAATCCTACTTACCAAAAACAAATAACTTACGAGAAAGAGATGTTGAAATTGAACGTCTAGCAAATTTATTCACTCAATCACCTAGTTATTTCAATTCATATAATAATAATAATAACAATATTGATTTTAAACACAATGAAGAACTATTAAAGAAAACACCTGTTCTTACTCACAATGTAAATATTTAGAACTATCATAAGTATTATTGTAATTTAGAGTGATACTTTATACAATTTAAACTTAAAATAATGTATTAAATATTTGTAATTATCAGTTTTATCCTTTTATTTTATAATGAAATGTTTTATCTTTAATTTAGAATTCAAATGTATTAAAAAATCAGATCACTAAAAATTTATCAAACATTGAAAGTCAAGAATATATCTTCTCTATTGCTCCCGAAGTATATCAAAATCATAATTCTTTATATAAAAGAAATTAAGTACAAAAAATTTTTTATTTCATTTAGATAAGGAAAAATGTGCGATTTGGAGAATTTTCTCCACATAATCCAGCTAATCAAATAAATGCAAAACCATTTTTAGGAATTGGAGAATATGATAACAAAAGAAAACAATTGTTTGAACAATCGAAAAACGAATATATAGAATACTTAGCTAATGTAAGAAAAATGTTGAAATAGATTTTTAAAAATTTACATTTTTGCTTTTAGAAGGTGAAGTTGAAAATAGTACTTAATGCTAAACACCATTTCTTAATCATTTTTTTTTCTAAGTTCATTCCATGAATTCTGGTTTAACTACTCAATTTCTTGAGATATATGTAGCATGAAACTATGTGTAATTCAATTTAACATAAGTACATCCTAAAATGGTTCCTTGTAATTTATTGAACAAAACTTCTTTCACTTCTTTTTAAGTTTTATATCTAAAAAACTCAAAAACTAATTTATATTTGTTAGAGAAGACGAAAAGACCTGCATATTTTGGTAGAATAAAATTAAACATTTGCACTTGCACACTGAGACATAACAAGTTCCTGATTAAACTAAATAAAAAACTTAACTAATAATAAAGAATTTAAGAATCCATAATACCCTTTTCCCACTAAAATTAAATTAAATTGTATCTTTTTTTTAAATTAATACAATTTATTTTTATAATTAAATTATTGTTACATTTATTTTTAGGCTAAGCAGAATAAATCTACTATAAAATTGCCACAAAGCCAACCGTTTTCTTGTGAAAAAACTGTTAAAGCTACAATGGTATTAAAATTGTTACTTAAAAAATTAAATTTAAATTTAAATTTAAAATTAATTAAAACTATTAAATTAATAATTATTGTGTCTGAATTGTTGTAGGAAGAAGATAAAAGATCTGAAAAAATAGATGAGTATAACAAAACAAGTATGTATTAAACAAATATATCTTGATATAATTTTTTTTTTAATGAAAAAATATAATAATAAATGTGTTGTATCAAAAAACCATAATAAAAGTATTAAATTAAAATTAAAAATTATAATATATAGCAAATTTAATAATAGATATTTTATTATACTAATTCCCAGTGATGTTTGACCTGATAAGATAAGTGAGACACTATCCCACTAAATAGTTACCACACTGTTATGTTTTTAAACATAAAAAAAAATTAATGTCATTCAAAATATAAAGATAGATTTCTGCCATAACAAAAATTATGTTATTTTTTACTTAAAATTTAATATATAACTTTAATATCTAGATCATTGGTGTGTGTATAATAGTAGCATAGGTGCTTTTGCTGTCCCTAACTGATCTAGTTTAATTTAATCAGGCTGTTTACATTTTATATTCAATATGCAAATTTCTGTAGAATTTAAAGAAGATTATAAAATTGGTTTTAAGAGTTAATTCCTGACAAGTCTTATAATCTTCCATAAAATATAAGCTCTTTAAGAAGGGTCATGGGCTAGTACAAAGTTTTACTGCCCTAATTTGAATTTCTGCACACAACTATGGTCCAAAATGGGTTATTTTTATCCTTAGTTTATACTTGTTAAGGCAAGATTGTATGGACATCAATGCAAGATAATCAAAAAATGTTTGTATTAATTATACTGTATTTCTTTGTGGATTTAAATCATGCAAATATTTATTATTATTTTAGTTGATGATTTAACAGAATTAACAAAACGAGCACCATTTATTGATGGTTCTGAATCATGCATTAGTAAGTTATTACATTTAAATGATAATTTCTTTTTAAATTATTTTAAAACAATCAAACTATTAATGAATATGTATTTTTTGTACCTTATATGATATACATATATGATATTAACAATTTTTTTTACAAAATAGACATATAAATTATTTTTTAAATATTATTCGTTAAGATTTATATTCAAATTTAAGTACACCTTGTTTAATTGAATGCACTAATAGCGAGTTTTTTTTTTTTCATTAATACAAAAAATATTAGATTTCTACATCTGATAGAACTCTAAAAAAAATTATCTTTTCTATTTTGGTAAATTCTGCATACTTAAAATGTTCACATTATTTGATATTTTTAATTGTATAAAACTAGTTAAATTATTATTTACTAAACCCAGAAAAATAGCCTAATGTTTACTCTAAAGCAACACCATATTTTAGCTTATTCTTGTTCTTATGATTAAAATAATGCATATATAATATCATTTTAGTAACTGAAGATGAACTCATTAAATCAAACAAAACCAAACAAGAAATATACAGACTAGAACTTGATAAGCAAATAGAGGAAAAAAAAATGTTGGAACAAGCAAAATTACAAAAACAAATAATGGAAGATGCGGCAATTGAAAAAGAAGCAAGAGAAAGAGATGAAAAATTAAAAAAAGAGTATGAAAGAGAAATGCAAGAAAGAGCATTATTTCAAATTCATGTAAAATATTTTAAATTATATTACATCAACTCTACTAATAATTTATTTAAACATATCATTACTTTATACATGAATTATAACATACAAAATATGAAAAAATCTGCAAAGAAAAAATGTCCAACTATACATTTTTCAACAATCTATTAATTTAATCTTTGTAAAGTTAATTAAAAAAATTTATATTTTATCCCGTCACTTTTAGATATAATGAACTAATTATTAAATATTATGAAATCAACTTATTCTTAATTTTTAAATTTATATTTCAGAAAAGAATGGTTCAAGAAAAATTAAAAGATGATTTATTAGAAAAACAAAAATCATGTGAAAATAAAAATATTAATTTTTCAAAACCAGTAGAATTTAATGAAAAAGACTGCATAAATACATATTCTTCGGATTACAACAATAAGCAGTTTGAATATTTACATCAAAATTCATTTGATGAAGTGCCTTTACCAACTACCCGCAATTTACCACTGAGAAAAGTAATAATTGTCAAACATATTTAAAAGTATTTCAACTTTCTTCTAATATTTAAAAAAAAAAAAAAAAGATTTTAATAATTTTATATAAGTATAACTATTTTTGTTTTTACTACTAATTATGTATTCATATAGTTAACACAAAAAAAAATTCTTTTTATTTTTGTTTGTGAATTATTTAACATATCTTTAGAAAATATAACTTTTTAAAATATTATTTTTATGAATGATTTTTAAGGTGATATACAAAGATACTGATGCAAAATTTGTAGAATTGTTTCAAAGTGATAATATTTCTGTAAATAAAAAAGATACTATTGAAAACTCATGCATAAATCAGAATAGAAGTCCTCCTTTAGTAAGACCTAGAATGAGAGTTGGTAAAAATGCCATACGACTACCAAAAGAACCCCCATCTTATATCACAATGGCTAAAAACAAACCATCACATGTCTCATTTGCAGATGACACATTGTTAAACAACAATTTTAGTTGTTATAGTCCTAAAAACTGCAATCCTAATGCTTTATTATCATCAAAACAATCTTTAATTATTGACTCACCACACACTCTTGCACTAGCTGGAACAGAAGATGTCAAAGAAAATAAGTGTACTTCATCTGAACTTGATGAAGCAACAATTAAATATCCGGTAATAATAATCTACATTGTAAAATAACCATAGTTGTCTTTATACTATCTGTGGGGTAATTATTTTAAGCATTACTTTCTTTCAATTTGTATAAAAATTTATTTATTATGTCTTTTTTTGTTGTCGTGGTTTCTAATTAAATCTAATTTACTCATAGAATGATTCAAAATTTTATTGAGGCTATCACAAATAAGGTAAGTAATTAAATGGAATTGTGTTAGATGTATAAAAATTGTATCATTTTGAACTGTAAAATTAAACACATTATTTTTATGTTCATAATAAACAAAAACTAGATTTTTATTATAGTAAAATGAAGGTTTTAAAGTTTCATAAAATATTTCAAGTAAAAAATATGCTTTTATAAATTGATTAAAAGTTGGCATAGGTCAGTTATTTATAAAGTTTTAAGTTGAACAAATATAATAAAATAGGAAATTAAATTATAGATTTCCACTTAACATTCAAAAGTCACCCATAAAATCCAATACTAAATCATTATTTCCACAATAAACTTCATATTTATCAAGATTCGTGTGTACAGATAAAACTTTATTTATGAAAACATAATTTTTAAATTAAAATATTGTAAATAGTATCCATAATATATTATATTTTATATTTTTCATAATTTCAATGAAGTATTTTATATGAAGTAAAATTATTAATTCTGAAGTATTTAACATTTAAAATCCTAGATTTATTACAGTATTTTTTTACTTTTGTTTCTGAATCCCACCTTAAATATTTTATTTATAATATAAATAAAATTGTTAACAAAATGTAATATATTTTGTTGTCACATTAAGCAGAAGTATTTATGAATTTAAACTTGTATTAGTTTCACATTTTCTATCTAATATAATTTAAATTGTCTCTTGTTGCATTGTTTTACATTATTAAGTTAAATTTAAAAATTTATCAAATTGAAATAAAATTATTACTTTGATAATTTAATTTTTTTTTTTTTAAGGTATCAGAATCAATAGAAGTAGAATCTATTAACAAATTTAGTGATAATGATTTACTGTATAACTTAGAAGACATAAGAAGACAAATGAAAATAGATCATCTAAATATGGAAAAAAAACTTAAAATGATAAATTAATTGAACCAAATTGATTAGCAAAAAATATGTATTGTTTTTAGTATAAAATGGCACTTTTTTACTTATTAAAATGATTAGTATTATTAAATTTTAATTATGTTTAGTATATTTATATTTTTTTAACACTTGAAATTATTATACTTCAATGATTTTACTACTCAGTAATTACAATACTACAATAAATATTTATATTGAATAAAATATAAGTATTCATTTATTTAATACCATGGATGATGTTAGAATAACTACAGCCGTGTTAAATCCGACGGATTTAGTACTTTAGCAGATTTAGGCAGACCTAATTGATTACCTGGCATAATTTGTCTTTTTATCAATTTATGTCTTACACAATGAAGTGACAAGGGGAGGATAAAGATTGGAAATATCACAAAGAAAATAATCAAAATTATTAAATATAAGTGCTTGAGATTATACGAGAGAAACACGTAATTTTGTTAATATATTTTTAAATATTAGATATTAGGACGATTTTTTACATCATAGGGACATAATTAAAAGCAATCAGCTATAGAGCCGCCTCTAAGTATAACTAAGTTGTTTAGTGTGTCGTAAGAACCGATTCTCAAATCATGTTTGTTATTATTAAGAAGGTTATTATAAAAAAAACCCAGCACAGGGGGGTCGCGGCACAGTCGTGACGTGGCATAGATGGATCAAGTATAATGATATCTGACAGTGATTAAAATCACTATAAAAAAAAAACGCTTCGATGCAAATCTTTAGATAGTGTTTAATTTTAAAAAATTGGTGGATTATTCCAAAAGCTTCATAAACTGCTAGTTCCTTATTAATATCCTGATTAAGATAAAGTATGTCGAATGAAAAAGGGATTATTAAAAAATAGTATTTCCCATAAAAAAATTATATTGATCAATACACTTTTCAATAAGTTATAGCATTATAAAGTTAAAAATGTAAAAAATAAAATTGAGAATTTTCACACAATAATAGCATTTGGTAGCCATTTTCACCGTGAAGACAAAATAAAGTCCGAAATTTTTTTTTTCCATAATAAAGTATATTACATTAGCTTTAATTTAAGATATATATAAAAGTGTCAGACTTTCCGGAACACTTTCAAAATTTAAGTTGAAAAAGTCAATTTTTTGTGAAAAAGTTGTCATTTTGAATCCCCCCCTGTAGGCAGGTAAAAAGTCAGATTTATAAAAAAAATATACCAAATGATAGGTAAAGACATCATGCATCTACAAAAAAAAGAATTATATTGATCCATACATCTTTCGAGAAGTTATAGCATTATAAAGTTAAAAATATAAAAAAGAATTTTTTTACAAAAATCGTATTTTTTTTATAAACTTTGATGTCTGTTTTCACCGTGAAGATAAAATAAAGTCCGAAATTTTTTTTTACCATTATAAAGTATATTACATTAGCTTTAATTTAAGATATATATAAAAGTGTCAGAC